AAGCCAAGCCGGCAACTGCATATGCACGAGCATTTGAGCCACTATGGCTGCTACATATGTATGTACTTTTTTGTTTTTCTCGTTTGCCTTGTTAATTCGAAAGAAATTCATTCATAAAAGTTACTTTGAAAATTTGCACTTTTTACATGGACACATACGTACATAAAAAGCTATGTGGATGCATTTCTCCATGCGCTATTTCCGTGCCGTTTTAATTGTTTTAGTTGTGCTAAATGTAATAAATATACATAGATATGTATGTATATTTTTAATGCATTCATACATGACAGATGTGTGGTAAGATATCCCCACATACAGCTAGCCGTCCGTCTTGGCTGACAGTAATGTGGGTACAACGGCGTGAATTAGTTTGATGTTGCTTCAAAAGAAGTCACCTCGAAAACAAAGCAGCGTAACAATTTTTCTTGTAATTTTTCTTGCACGCGAAATTAAGTACATATGGACGTATGAGTGGTGTACACTTTTTGTCATTTTTATTGTTTTAGAGTTTTTTTTTTACTTCGCTTTAAAGGCAGATTCATTCATGCATACATACATATGCACTATGTTTGTCCATAATTGAACTAAATTGGAACAAAGTATCCAGAAACAACCAAAGTAGAGCGTAGTACAAAAAAAAAATACTAGTGAACCCGCATGGCGTTAAAACGGGCAACATTGAATTTCTAAGATCTAAAAAATATTCCAAATGTTAATCAGAGTTATAAGCAAGCGTTCCGAATGCCATATTTCATCTAAATACCGTGCAGCCATTTTTGGGTGAAGAGAGGTCTCGCATAGTTTCGGTTTTTAATATCCCCAAAATTTCAAATCACGCTGTACCGATAAAAAAAGATCCCACTTCAAAAAATTTAATCTTAACCCATATATACAGCCCAAGGTCTTTATTGCACCTCTCATACTAGAAATTGGAAAAAACGGTGCAATCTAATGACCTTCATAAAAAATTCCCGCTCGTATAATACAGTGAAACCTCCCTTGGGCGGACACTCACCGTCAGTCATTTTTTGTCCGCCCAAGAGAGGTGTCCGCTTAATGGAGGGGAAGCCTATTTTAGAACTTTTTAATGTTTTAATTAATTGAATAGTCACTATTTCTTATTTGAATAAAAGATATTGATATTACATCGTTCAAACCAAAATGTGCATGTATTTTTTCAAAAGTGCACATTTCATTTATGTGCATAAGTACATATTCAGTAATAACAAAATAAAAATAAATATTACATTTTAGTCCATAAACTACATAAAATCATAGATTCATTACATAAAAAACTGGGAAATTGTCGATTGACGTAATTTTAATTTTTTAATTTTTTTCAGTGTCAGTACCTTTTTCATTAATAGTTTTCATGTTTTTATCAGTCTCCAAGGGTTTCTGACAATTCAAATAACGAACCTAAACCACTGCGCAAACCAAACTAAATGTGTGCATAACAATCACATTTTGTGCGGGAAGTCCCCTTTTTCCATTTAGTAGTCCGCCTATGAGGAGTTCGCGTCCGCTCAACGGAGGTTTTTGTTTGATTTGTTATGAAAAGAAATCTTAATGTGCGTTGATAAGAGGTTCGCGTCCGCCCAATAGAGTTTTTGTGTCAATTTTATGCAAAATAACTGTCCGCGTCCGGCCAAGAGAGTGTCCGCTTAAGAGAGAGTAATTTGTTCCGAAATTTATACTTAAAACTTGGTATAGGGAAAAATGTCCGCCCAAGGGAGGTGTCCGTCTAATAGAGGTGTCCGTTAGGAGAGGTTTCACTGTATACGTATATACTCATTCAGAGTGATATGACTTTTCGAAAAGGTGGCAAGCTAATGAAAAATATTTATTTATTTATTCGAAGTTTCAATTAATTCTTCATAAAACTTGTGTGTAAGTTGACTAAATTCGACTATCCAACAGGTGAAAATACTTTTCAAACATACTTTCCAGCTAAAACCTCTTTCAATCTCTTTCTCTTCTGATACAAATTTCAATTAACTGATTAATTAATTTAAATTTGATTTTTCAAACACCTGGCAGCCCTGGCAGATATAAAGCCTTTTCAAACCCATTTCGACTGATAACCATATTTTAATTATTTATTTGGCCTTTAAATTAATTTTAATTTCACTTTTTAAACGGGTGGCAACCCTCTCCAAACACCTCAAAAATTTTTCTAGTGTTCAAACTAACGATAAAAATTTTTCGCTCTTCACCCGTACGTCAAATAATTTTCGTATAGGTTAATTAAATTTTACTTTTTAAACAGATGGCAACTCTCTTCAAACGTGGTTTAAAACTATAACCTTCTTCAATTACTCTCGCCGGACATTGTGGTACATTTTTAATTTTTTAAACATGTAGCAACCCTCTAAATGTAGTTCAGAATTAAAGCCTTGTCAAATGCATTTCGATTGGTGCTAATTCCTAAATAATTTATTTAGCTTATTAAATAATTTGTTTAACTTTTTAAACAGGTGGCCTCTCTGTTTAAACATCTCTAAAATATTGTTAAGTCTTCAAACTAAAGATTTCTTAAGACTCTTTTATTTGACAAATTTTAATATTTCGTTGCGTATAAGTTAATTGAATTAGATTTATGAAACAGGTGGCAACCATCTTCAAAATATTAACAAACTATTACCTTCTTAAAATCGTTTCGTGTAGCGCCCACATGGTGATACATATGTATGTCCATTACCTAATTCCCTTAATTTAAAGTTAATTTATTTTTCTAAACAGGTGGCACCCCTCCTACATTAAAGTTGAGAAACAAAGCGTTTTAAACCCATTTCGATTGATACCCATTTTGTAATACTTGGTTTAAGTTCTTAAATAATTTCAACACAATTTTTTAAAAGGTGGCAACTGTTTTCGAAAAGTTATACCACATTGCACATCTGCAAATGCTGTGTCCTTTAATTTGACACCTCACTTTTGAAAATCGAACGAACGATGCAGATCTTATATTCTGGACAAAAAATTCCTTCGTGTATTATATATCGATGGCTGAGTGGAAGATCGACCTATCTCGGCAACCAGTTCGAAAAGGCTCTATCTCAAAAAACTTTTCAAGAACGCCGTATTTCAGAATTTAATTGAAAAACACCCTATCTCAAAATTCGGTTCAAAAATGCCCTATCTCACTTCAAAATGTATTGAAAATATGCTGATATAGGGCGTTTTTTGAATCGGCAGCTGAGATAGGGCGTTTTTGAAACGAATTCTGAAATAATGATATGAAAGAATTTTATTAAAAAGTTCACAGTTTCAGCAGAATTTCCAAACCAAATTTTAAATGAAAACCGGGTATTTATTAAAAACATCTATCGGTCATAATTCGGCGAGTAGATACTGTATATCGTCACCTGAGTGGAAGATCGACCTATCTTGGCAGCCAGTTCGAAAACGCCCTATCTCAGAAAACTATTCAAGAACGCCCTACTACAGAATTTGATTGAAAAACACCCTATCTCAGAATTTTGTTGAAAATACATTGAAAATGTGCTGAGATAAACGTTTTTGAATCGTTAGCTGACATAGGGCGTTTTTGAGCCGAATTCTGAAATAGGGCGTTCTTAAAAAGTTTTCTGAGATAAGCCGTTTTCGAACTGACTGCCGAAATAGGTCGATCTTCCACTCAGGTATCGATATAGAACTCACCTGTAGAATAAAACCCCATTTTACAAAGTTAGAATCGATCGTTTATTTTTGAATTTAGTTGGCTTTTTTAATTTTTATTTTTAATTTCTCTACAAAGCTTAACAAGTGGATTTATACGGTGTTATGTAGTATATAATTGACTAGACTTTAGCAACAAAATAGTCGAGACTTGATTAGTTTTAAGAGCTCCTTTGTCCGCTTTCAACGCCCTCTGCAAGTAATCAATGGTGCTTGACAACACCTCCTGACGTATGTATGTCTCGCCTCACCAGTTCATCAGCCTTGCTAGTTTCTTGCAGAGATCGAAAATAACCCTCTCCACTTATCTTTTATTGTGTTTCTCACGGACACAAACACAAATCTCACTAGCACAGAGTGTTAATCGCGTGCCAATGGATCTTTTTGTGCATTCTGCTGTGGGTTATTTATCAACTGCTTAAATTTCCCTTCGCCAAAACCCTTTGGCTCTCTGGTTTCTTGCAATAGCACTGTGGTGTAGTAATCAAATAAGCTGTACAGCAGAAGGTGCTCAGGCATTCTCCGACCAGTTTTGAGTAAATCAGCAATTAACTTAATGCTTTTATCACCGCTTAATTATCAGAATAAATACGCAATTGCTTTAAGAAGTATATCGGAAGTAAGCAAGCAATTAGCCTTAGTTAAAGATTGGTGGAAAGACACTTGAGCTATTTTTGAAAAGATTCGCTGACCGTGGGTGCAGCACAACGTCTAGGGCCTAGAGGTTATGCACACTTTTAAAAATATCGGAACTTGAGTCAAACTTAAAGCAGTGGTAGCATCAATTGTTATGCCCAGGAATACCATGTTAAGCAGGTCGAAAAATGCCACAGTAGAGTGGAGACGTGCCTCTCTGATAACGATGGAAGCGGAATTTTCTATTTTTCTCCAGCTACTAGTTTTCTCTAGTGACGTTTACTAAATTTGTAACGATTTCATACACCCAATAAACTACATACCCAATTTAAGTGTTAGAATAACTGCACAACTAGCTTTTCAGGCGTTCCGCGCTTTTCAGGCTTTCAGTTACGCAATTCAGCTATTGATGAAAGCCTCAAAAAAGCGCCGAACGCCCGCAAAGCTTGTTGTGGAGTTGTACTCTAAGGGCGATACCTCTAAAAAAATATATTACTAGAATGAAAGAATTTTTCCAGTTTCTCTGTTTTACTTTTTTCTTAAATGAGCATTTTTTCTTATAATATTGAATTAATATTTGTTTTTTCTATCTTCAGGACATTCGTGATCGTTGCGATCGTGAAGCTAGTGAAAAGCAATTTGGCACTGCTGAATCGGAAAAACCACAAAATCGGTGTTTAAACAGATACAGAGACGTAAATCCCTACGATCATTCGCGCATTATCATCCATAGAGGCAGTGTAGACTATATAAATGCTAATCTTGTTAAGGTAAGCAGGTCAAATGCGAGAAGATAGAATATAACACACATATTATTTTTTTTTTTTAATTTTCCACACAGCTCGAACGTGCCGAACGTAAATATATTCTAACACAAGGTCCGCTAGTCGACACCGTTGGCCACTTTTGGCTAATGGTATGGGAACAAAATACTAAAGCCATTCTTATGCTGAACAAATTGATGGAGAAAAAGCAGGTCAAATGTCATCACTATTGGCCGGATAGAAAGGGCCCTGAAAATGCATTAAGATTAAATGAAGTTAACTTGACTGTTGAATTTTTACGTTGTGAAGAATATCAGAACTTCTGCCGCAGATGGTTCAAGTAAGTTCAGTTAATTTCAGCTTTGTTGCACTTATTAAAAATTTCTCAATTATTCTCATATTAGGCTAACAGATCTTGAATCGAAGACAAGCCGCGAGATATTACAATTCCACTATACAACATGGCCGGACTTTGGCATTCCCAGTTCACCAGTTGCGTTTTTGCAATTTTTAAAACAGGTGCGCGACTCCGGTGCACTCGATGCGGATGTGGGGCCCGCAGTGGTACACTGTAGCGCTGGAATTGGGCGCTCTGGCACTTTTTGTTTAGTTGACTGCTGTCTAGTTTTGGTTGGTGATGAAAGTTGTTTCATAGTTGTGTTATAAGTTTTAATAAGTTTTTTTTCTTTCGTGAATTATAGATTGAAAAGGAAGGCGAGAGCAAAGTTTCTGTACAGGATGTGCTCTATGAATTGCGCAGGTATCGCATGGGCCTAATACAGACTGCAGATCAATTATATTTCTCATATCAGGCAGTTATAGAGGGAATCAAATTGCTTAAGGATCCAGTAAGGAATTTCTCATATTTAACATTTATTTATGTACATATAAATAGTCGTACACAAAATGTAATACCTTCATTTGTTTAAAGGAATTTCTGAATTACAAGGAGGAGCCAATTAATAGCAGTGACAATGAGCACCACGATCAGTATGGCACAATTGGTGGTGATGTGCCACCACCTCTGCCTCCACGTACACATTCCCTAGCACTGCCAATGGCCGGCTGCAGCGCTGCCGGTGCACTAACGTTGAATTTACATGGCAAACCATTACCAAAAATACCGGCAAGCGCAAGTTTCAACGACGAACTCTACGCCATGACCGACAATGCACAACATGCCAGCAAGGATGCGTTGAATAATTTCATAAACAACGAAAAAACTGCTGAAAACATGTCAAACAGACCGCTACCACCACTACCGCCACAACCGCAACGCTCTCAATCCTCGCTTGAACGCGTACATGAATCAGACAGCGATGAAAATGAGTTCTACGAAGACGATAATAGTGACGATGACGATAGTGATGATGAAGGACTTTATAACTATGACAATTTGGACGATAAGAACGCCAACGCCGTTAATAAGCGGAGTATAAGTAGTGAACGTGGTAGCGGCAGTGATGGTGGCGGCGGCGGTGGTAATGAGTTGTCAACGGAAATTAAGCAAAATGGCACTGATGGCTCCAATAGCAATCCGCTCGTCATCGGGTACGTTAACATATATACATATATACACATATGTATTTGTAAATGTGTAAAATATTAAAATTTTGCATCGTTTGTTTCATTTCATTTATAGCAGTCCCGAAAATGAGTTAAAACGGCGGAAACGTGTCGAACGACAGGCCAACATCGAACAGAAAGTTAACGAGATCAAGCGAAAACAGCGCGAAACGGAGGAAAGCAAGCATGCGGCGAAGAAACGAAGGTCATTAATTACCTATATTGCGGCGGGTGTTGTTGTGGGTGTGATTTGTGTGTATGCATATTCGAAGCTAGCCTAAGGCCAAACAAGTTTAAACAAATAAGGAATGGTAAATACATATGTACGTTTGATCGACATTAAAAATGTCCCTATCCCTGCCCTTCACAGCATCAATTGATAGTTAACTTTTGTGTCGCGCGCACATGCACTTAAAGCGCTTCATATATATACATACATAAATACATATACATAATATATAGTACATATGTATACAATAACGCTCTCGCCAATAGCATTAGTAAGTAATGCGTTACATTTAATTCATTAGAACATCTAATTAGTAAATGAAGTGAAGCTAAAATCAAATACCGAGTAATAATTTTGCATGTAATTGAAAAGCATTTAACACGCAAGTGTATATGTATAAATTATATAACTACAAATACAAATGTAGTTATGCAGTAGACGAGTAAGTTTTAAAATTTCGAACAATTTTTAAAAAGTTAACTAAACAAGCTAACGAAGTTTCCATACAAAAGTTGGGTAATTCCAGAGAGATTGGCAAATGCTTTTTGAGTCAATGCATATACAGTATAATTTTCCATACGTATACAATTTTCGATCGACTTCAAAAGGGGTGGGTGACTATATTTTTGATTGTATTCGCAGCTCGCGCAGGAGAACACACCCCATGCATATGAAAAACACACATACATGCATTGATTGTATATTTATAGCTATAGAGTACCACTTATAAGACTCATGCCAAGTTCTTTTTTTTATATTATTGCTATCTGACTATAGATGCATTCATATACATATGAACAAACTTCTGAAATAAACTATTAACTATTTTAAGTTTAACTTTACTACGTTGCGTCAAATACTATGCATACAATAATTTAATTAAAATCGAGTAGTAAATATAAATTAATTCTTTTTTTGCACTAAAATCCAAATGTAGCGCTCAATTATTAAAAGACTGTCACAACTCAAAAAGCAGGATTCTTGAGATATTGATACAAAATAAATGATTATATCATGGTTCATTTTGTTGTAGCGTCTTCGTGCCAAAATCTTTTGTAGTTTCTGCGTGAAAGGAGAGAGTTTCTGCAACTCAATTGAAAACTTAGCGCGCCTCTCCTGCAAAAAACTTGCATTTTGCGTTGTGACAGCCTTTTGGCAAATGACAAAATGTACATATTTACTAACAATCCTTTATCAAATGCGGCTTCACTTGCTCAGAACTATATTATGATTGAAAAGTGAAATATGTAGATATATATGTATGTATTTCAAACGAAACCTAAACGATAGGAAAATGCAAAACAGAATTAGTGGCAGAATGCAAATGATTGAACTGTAATAGACTGAGAATGTAGGAGAAAAGGAAATCGAAAATAATCTAAAACCAACGACTTTGTGAAAATTTACAAATCATGGCAAGTAAAATAAATTATATATTATATTAGCATTCAAAAGATAAAGTAAAGAACTGGGTTTTCCATACTTCTGATAAAATCATATTTTGTAACTTCGGAATAGCACACACAAATAAAACATCAGACCCAGTAGATAATTTCAGGAGTTAAAAGCCCTTCTGAAAGGCCTTCCTGAGAGTCAAGAGGCCTTCCACTCTACATTCCTTTCTCCTTTCTTTTTTGTATGGAGTGGCACAAATTGAAGGGCTTCTCCTTTCGCTACCCATAGAAGGCCTTCCAGAAGGGCTTTTATAGGACATACTTTTGGGGGAGTTCTTTTAAAGTTGCTTCTTTAATTTATAAAAATCATACATCTTTGAAGTATTTTTTCTTGCGGTTTATATCAATCATGTGTGCAACTTAAAATGTTTATTGAAATTCATTTGTAATGCTAAATAATGGGGCGTATTCTTGTTTTCATACGAATCGAAAATCATGAAATTTTACTATCATTTTCTATACAAAAATTTCAAATTTTCGATTCGTACGAAATCCAGAATATGCCGAAATGTATAAATTTGTGCATTCGCGTAAAATGTAATTGGATAAGCCCTTCTATAAGGTATGCAAGGAAGCACTTTTTTCAGCCCTTCTTGGGTAGGCCTCTTAGAATGGCTTTACTTAAGAAGGCCTACCTAAATTATCTTCTGGGAAGTGTTAGCAGATGTGGATATTTAAATCGAAAATTGCTATAATTTTAGCCTAATTCGCTGGCTCAGGAAAAAGTTTTAAAATTTCCTTGGATTTTCACTGTTTGTTTTGAATTAATATTATTTAATTCAGGAAGTTGTTGTAAAGTGCTACTCTCAACTGAACGGAAGTTATTGCATCTTTGTTCCGTTTCATACAGTCCGGTTGCGGTGAAAAGCGAAAGCAAGTAAACAGAAACGTAATTTTTCAAATTTTTTGGATGCTTAAATTTGCAATTCGCACAAATACTACCGGGTTCACAGTGGTACAGTCGAGCAGTGAACAATACTTTTAGTGTAATTAGTAATTTTCAAGCAAAAAACAAAACTGACTTCAATTCTCATATAAAAATTTAAGATTATCGTTAATTTCTTCATGATCCAGTGATCGGATTTAAGCCAAATTAGTATGGGCCCACCTGTGAGTTAGCACCTCACCTCAAGAAGTATTGAAATCGGTTAACGTGGTCCAAAGTTATGCGGTAACATACATAAAAAAAAAATAAAATATTCCGACGAATTGATAACCTTCTCCTTTTTGTGAAGTCAGTTAAAAATTAGCTTAATTCATGTAGTAAAAACGCAAAAAAAAATCTCATTGACTTATAACCAGGGCTCGGATTTGGATAACCTAAAAACTAGCAAAAAATTACCTTCAATAAATTTCAAAATGCTTTAGACAATCCTTTAACATTACCTAAAACTGAAAAATTTAGTCGTCTGCAATGCAGCCTCAGTTGCTATAAAGCTCGAACCACAACTAAAGTTCGGTTGCCATCCCTAATGTACATATTTTATTAATATCCCTCGCTTCACTTTAATTTGAACGTATTTTTGAATAGGGTTCCCACCATATACAGATATAGTACGCGGTTGCTTTTCCTTGAAGGTCATCAGATCTGAAATGTCAAATTAAAGAGCTTGACCTATAGATTTACAATGAGATTTTATTGTTTGAACTAAGAACTTTTTTAGCGGGAAAGGGTAAGGTGATCTAAAATCTGATGAAATGAAAAACCGACACCATGCGGTACGTCTTTTCATGCAGAAACGGCTGGGCGGGTTTAAATGAAGTTAGGCATACGGATCGCTTATAACTCTGACTACCGTTTACCTGGGCGTTTTAACGCCTTGCGGGTTCACTAGTGTCTTACTATGTCCTGGAGTACTAGAACAAACTATTTGTCTTATATGCTTAAATTTGACAACAGTCGTATGAAAATTGTTGCTGCTTAAAGAAAAATGTGGTGTGGCAAAAAAATATAGAAAAAATGTTTTTTCTTAGCAGCGGTCGTCCCTTGGCAGGCAGTGGCAAACCTCCGAGTGTATTTCTGTCATGAAAAACAGCTTCTCATAAAAATACAATCGCCGTTCGGAGTCGGCGTAAAACTGTAGGTCCCTCCGCTTTGTGTGACAAAATCAAGGCGCACGCCACAAATCGGAGTAGAAGCTCGGCCAAACACTAACATATGTGTAAGTGCCAATCTATTATTATTATTATTATCAATCAGAGAAGCTTGCGTTTAATCTCATTTCGATTACTGATAAATCTGAGGAAAATTAGCGAAAAGAACAAGGGGCCTTTTATAAGCGATAAGTCTGCTTTTTTTTTTTGTCACTTGGATAGGTATTTACAGTACATAAGTGTGTTGGTAGATGTTAATGAAACTGTCCTAACCAATTCCTGAAATACAGAATGAGCAGAAGTGTACAAATGGTTAGTAGTTGTAGCGCAGCATCTTATGAAAAAACACGAAATTTAGCCAAAGCAAAACAGGCTGTACAGAAATGACAGAAGGTCCATTGTGTGATCCGCTTCTTATTGCCGCAATACTGGAACAAAATTATAGAAAAACGATGGTGTTCATGTTAGCATAAGGAAGATTAAAAATTTCAAAACGGACCCCAGTAAATGCACCATGTGATAAATTTTGCAGGGCTTACATTCATACAAAGAGAGGCAAGTCTCAACATAAGTATGTCACTTATTCTCAGTCAGACCATTTTCATGAATATTCCACCAAAAAACGCAAGGATTTGTACTACAGGAGCTATAAAAAGTAGAATTTTTTGTTTTGCTTCCTCAAGAAAATGAGTGTACGAAAATGTGATCACTGAGTCCAAGCTGCAACGAAATATAAGCTACATATAAGCTACTCTTTATGCGCACTTTTCCCGCCAAGTCCGGATATTAGAAAGAAGATACATAAAAACGTACGAATGGGACTTCTATATAACTAGGAAACGCCTTCGAAGCTTCAGAAAAAAGATGGCATTGCATCGAAATCCGAGCTCTGCTGATCAGCTTGAATCCTCTGGATCTCCGTAACCAGAACTAACCAAATATATGTAGTATCTAGCCATGTGCAGTCCCTCTAGCAGCATTCCTCAAAATTTCTTGGTTAAATAGCTCGAAAAGTCTAATTTTTAGGTCAAATACGTTCATTGTCCTTCTATTTCAGAAAACTATAATTATTTTTTGTTGTTGAGCATTGGATAGCTAATCTTTAGAAAAGGCTGTCACTAGTGTAATATATGGCTTGCTGCACGGCTAAGACAATTTTTGTTCTTTTCTTTTCATCGACATCTTTGGCGACTTTTGAATCTGTGGATTTACCTGTACGGACTGCAAAACAAACGCCTTCCTTGCTCTCTCAATTTACTTGGGCATCCAGAGCGCGACTTGTACCCAGCACGCATAAACTACGTGTTAAATAATTACAAAATTCCTGACAGGGAAGTCTAAAAAAAATCTAAAAACTGGCATTAAGCAAAAAATGGTTGCCATTTCGTACAGTGTAATCAAATACATTGGAGCATGATAAAAACATTA